ATTGCTTTGTTTGTAAAAAGAAGCATTTAAACTGAAATATCCAAATATTTTTAAATAAGTAAATGATTGAATTTAGCTTTCTTTTGCTTTGTAAATATTTTTATAGGAAGCACATTTTTTTTTCTTTTAAATTTTTTTTTAGTTATTGTAAATTTCTTAATTTGCATGGAATTATTCTCATTTATTTACAAGTCATTACTTGAAATTACATGTTGAGGTACATTTGTCGTTAACTCATATCTGTCATTTATAATGAATGGTCTCGGGAGAATTGCTCGATTAAGGTTTCACTGTGTAAAAGTTAAAATTTTTCAAATATGTGTTAATTTTGTTACCATATGATAATTCAAACTTATAGGATTTTTCGTTTTCAAGCATCTTTGTGCAATTTCAATCATAATCATTAATGGCAATAATTGCTTGTTATGGACATAGGCCTTGACAGTAGAGCCTGATTAAGGCAGGGGCAGTTGCCTCAGGCCCCCCACATCATAGGGAACCCCAAATCGAATAGGAAGTTTATTTTACGTTTCCTACCTTAGTAAACGTCTTTTAAACAAACTATCAGTACAGTGTAAAATCTGTCAGTTTTTTGTTTGCTTCTTTATTAATCTATTGTAAAAACGCAATCTAAATTCCTAAATCCATGGCTTTCTAGGGGCGAAATTTAGCTGAATTAAGATGGACAAATTTGGCCAGTCAAAATCCTGTATTTTTACATATCGCAAAATGTGATATGTTTTCAAAAATGCAGGCTTCTAATTGGCTTAATTGGGCCATCGTAATTGCGAAAATTTAGCTGAATTCCACCTTCATGTTAGCAAGGATTAGGATACAAACTTTTTGCAACTAGAGGACAAAGTTAACAATCAGAAAACAGCCTTCAGCATGATGAACATAGAATTGTCAGAAAATCAATAAAAAGGAAAGAATGATTTTTATCTGACCATTGGAGGGGGGGGGGCGCACTTTATTGCTATTTAGGTTCTAGTCAACTTTCTTGTTATCAATAATGAGGTGAAAAATTTAAATACCTCCATAAAGTTCGGTTCTTCATTACTGAAGTAGGTTAGTAGGCTAAGTCGGGCCATACTTGAGAGAAGGTTGAAGTACTTATGAAAATATTCTGTATTTTGTTTCTCAATTTTGCATTTATGCACTCTGTTACATTGTATTTTGCTAATCATAGCATTTTTCTCTGCATACTATTGTTACCATTATTCAAAATTGTGTCCAGTGTTAATTTTGTTATCATATTATAACTAATACTCAAATTAATAAAATTTCTCATTTTCAGACATCTTTGATTGTGGGCTCTATACAACATCCATTAAGGTCATTAATGGCAATAATTACCGATTCCATAGTTGCATGATTTGCAATTACACAACTTCAGATGCATCACATATTAAACAGCATATTAGGAAACACACCGGCGAAAAACCTTTCAAGTGCCCATTCTGTGAAAAATCTTTCTCCCAAAAATCCAACATGAATATCCACGCTTCAAAATATCATAAAAATGTATTGTAGCATTTTTCGTCATAATTGTTTACATAAATGATGTAATGTGATAATTGTGTTAATGTACCATAATTTGTTTAAAAATATATCATTGCTTGTTTAAAACGTTAACTACTTCAAAATATTGTAGGATATAAAATATTTACATAATCCATCTGTTATTTTGGTGCAGCTGTGGCAATAATGGTGTTTTGCGTGTATCTTTTCACAATAATTATCTAATCTTTCTCCCAAAAATCCAATATGAAGATCCACGCTTCAAAATATCATAAAGATGCATCGTAGCATTTTTTTCTCTACTGTTTACACAAATGATGTAATGTGATCATTGCTTTAATGTATCATAATTTGTTTAAAAATATTATGTCATTGCTTGCTTAAAAGCTTTGTCACTTCAAAATGTTACAGAATATAAAAAATTTACACAATCCATCTGCTATTTTGGGGCAACTGTGGCAATAATGGGATTTCACACCGGTCTTTTCACAATAATTATAGCACAATCATAAATGAATTATTTTGTATTTTCAGCCAATTTCAGATTTGCCCAGAAAAATTATTCTATTACATGCAAATATTCTAAAATTTTATTGAGATTGAGCATATACCTAATTAATTAAATAGGACATTCACTTTAATTTCACCCATTCACTTTGGTTCATAATGTTTTTTTTTCCAATGCCCACCTGGGGAATTACATTTTGTCAATATTGGCATCTGAAGGGTATATTTGTTGGTCACTCTTTCAGGGGCACCCTATTAGGTGAGCCAACGATCTGGAATCTAAGGTTTAGAAGTTTCACGAAATCATCGATCACATTTATGCATAAAAAAAAATTTTTTATTTTATTTTAAAATATTAGAACTAAAATTTATACTTGGCAACTCTTTCATTTGTAAGTATTTTTTCTGGCAGAATAAGCTATGTGATTAGAGATAAAAGTAAACTTATACATAATTATTAACTTAAATTATGCTGCATATAATTTTTTAAGAATTTCATGTCTTGAAAATATCAATGATTTAAATTTAGAAAGATATTAATTTTTTTAAGTGTTTAATTAATTATTTTACTCAAAAATTTTTCAGTTGGGCTCATAATCACCCCTCTCTAGCAATAAAGAGCGATAGTATAAAGAATGAAAGAACATCCGGGATTTGTCCGAAATTCGAACCCAGAACCTTTCTGATACAAAGCCAGTTCCCTGACCCCTACACAGTTCGGACAGCAATAATGGATGGTTCATAATGTAAAGTGTGCTACAAAAAAAATGAAACACATGAATGACTTACGAATCAGATATTCTCGTACTAAGACAATCTTAATGCTTTGAAAAGCCTAGCCTTAAATATACTGTTTAATAAATACAGGTATTATTTTAAGTTATAAAATTAGACTCAAAAAAGTACTTTCTCTGAATAAATTTTTTTTTTAAAGATTTGGGTTCTTGATCCTCAAAATATGGTCCTAATATGAGGTAGAGGATTGTTATAATCTGATGATTGGATCAAAAGTTGTTCAGAGTGTTCACTTGTTTATTTTATACTCTGTTCATCATCCTTAGTATAGGTAAAACAATGACTACCATGTCAATGTTGTATCATGTTACATGAATAACTTTAAGTAATTAAAACTACTTTTTTATAATGTATGAATTAAAAAAAACTATTAACCAGTAGGCTTCTTTTTTTTTTTTTTTTTTTTTTTTTTTTTTTTTCAAAATTGAATTTTTACTTGTTCTGATATCAAAAACTCTGTTATTCTAATCTGTTCATAAAAACATATTGCAAATCTATTTCTCTTGCTAAAATATTTTTACTTGTTATCTTTGTTTTTATATATATATTTAAAATTCTATAGTTTGGTATGTGTTTTGTATGTTTTATAATTTTTTCTTTTGTGTTTTGTTCATTTATTATAAATATGATAATTTGTAATTGTATGTCTGTTATTCTATTTAAAATGTTAATATCAGTAACAAATTGAGTGGGATTTTTGGCTAATTAAAAATGTAAAGGTTTTATCTCAGTTAAAACAAAAATGTTTTTTAAATTATTTTCTTGCAAAGCATTATTTCGTTAAATTGTCTCTAATATTTAAAATATGGTTTATTGTTTTGTACAGTTATATTTTTAACTTGTTATTAAAAAAAGAACTCATTATAGAGCAGCTATTATCCGCACTTTCTTCATTGAAATACCTGTTTTGTCGATTCTTAAGCTTTTCCCCCTTCTTCTGAAAGTAAACTTGTTATGTTATACATAATTATCATTATCCTGACTATCAGAGTTTGTTAATGAAAGTGGATGATTAAAAAGATGAGCTTCTGTAATCTGGAGATTTTAATTGCTGGAAGTAGGTTTGGTTTAAATTATTATGGTTAATTGATGTTTCTACTGTATTTTGATAATATAATGCAAATTTTTATGGAAAGTTGTATTCTGTCACAAAAAATAATTGATTTTTTTTTTTTTACAAAAACTTTGAAAGTATAAAATATGATTTTTCACAATTTTTCTTAGATCTAAGTAATAGTGATTTAAACAGCAAACTTAGAATAGTTCTAAATATTGGAAATACTAAATTAAAGCAAACTGTTTTGAAAGTATCATGATAATATGATGCTTTAAGGTCCTACATTAAATATGGATAATGACATTAATATACTGCCATTGTGTATCTTCACCACATTAACGATTCATTGCAATAATGGATTCATATTTGCAACATTTCATCTTTGTCAGTGATTTTCAACCCTTTTTTTTTGTCGCAGCACACTTTTAACAATTTCGAAATTTAATGGCATACACAGAAAAAAATAAGTTTTAAAGTTGTTTAATTACCTTTAATACACTATAATATAATGTAAAATAGTTTACGATAATAATTTTGAATGTGAAATAAAAGAATATGTACTACAAAAACAACAGTAAATTTATTAAGGGATTAATTGCAAGTTAACTGTTAATTTGAGTGTTTTTTTTGTTGCTATTTATTAATTGTTAGCTTGCTTTTGATAGTTATTAATTGTTAGTTTTTTTTTACATTCATTGTTATTTTTTGTGATTCCTTGTTAACTTTTTTTTGTTTTGTTAATTATTAATTGTTAGCTTATTTTTGTCAGTTATCCTTTGTTAATTTGTTTTTATAACTATTAATTGCATTGCTTATTTTAATTGTTAGCTTTTATTTCCTTTTGTAAGTTAATATTTAACTTGATTTCTTTTGTTAATTAAGAATTTTAATAGTCATTAAACTTCCTACTTACTTTAAAATTGTCAGAGACAGGACTATCCTTGTCAAAGATGTTCATGCCGTTTAAGAGTGGAAAAATTATAAAAAGTATATATAATATTATATATAAATACTTTCATTAATTTACTTGTAGGAAAAAAACATAATTTTTCTAGAATGACTGATGTAAGTAATCGAGTGTTTATTAACTAAAAATGACATTCTTTTATGTATTGCTAATTATTTGTGCACCAAAATTTTATTATTGTTCTAAACCAATTTTTTTCTTTAATTTTAGGTTCAGTCAAGGCTCCTGCATTAAGTTGTGATCAAGAGATTTTCTATACTGATAATGTAGTAATAAGTGGCCAACTCACCACCCTATACCGTTGCCAATGTTGCAATTTTTCAGCTTACTCATTGTTTGGAATCAAAAGACACATACGTGTACATACTGGTGAAAAGCCATTTGTGTGCGACCATTGTGGACGAAGTTTTTCTCAAAAAGTTAATTTGAAAACTCACATGTTCCGAAAACATTTACTAAAATAAGAAAAAAATTAATTTTTTCTCAAGATACAGTATGTATTTTCAGGACACCTAGAAAATCATGAATTTTGCGATTGAGCAAAATTTGTCATGATTTTAACTATTTATTTTTTTGTAAATCATATAAAGTCATGGATTTAGGTCACCGAAAAATCTTAATTTTTAAAATGGAATTTACCCCCCCCCCCATNTTAAAATGGAATTTTGTCCCCCCATATTTCATTGTGTTCCGAATATCTGAATTTCATTGTGCTCCGAATGTGTAACAAAATCCCCACTCACGGTCATATTTTTTAAAATATAAAATATGACTATATATATCACGTTCTTTAAAAATGATGCTCTTTCAAAAAATGAAAGAAAAAACATCATTTTTAGAGCGAATAAATTTTTAAACTTCTGTAATTTTAGAATTTTTGTTATTGTTTTTTTTTTTTTTTTTTATCAATTTGAAATTCTAGCTGAAGCAAGCCACTCATTGGGAAATTTTTTTTAATTCCGAAATGAGAACAGAAAAATAGAGACTGTTTCTTTCCTTTCCAATGAACGAGAAAAGTATTTTTAGAATAAAATTCTTGGAATGAGTCATGAATTTAAAATGTAGCAGATACCCTGTATGTTCGAGGGGGGTTATTGGATACCCTCCTTCATATATATATATAGTATGTATATTCTAAACATTTAAATTACAAAAAAAAATGAAAAACTTTTTTATGCATCTACATCCTACTTCACATACAGTAGTTCATTAATTGTTTAATTTCGGTGGGGATTTCGTCCCCCAAACCCTCAAAACTATGCCACTGGTACTGAGTTAAAATGTCCTGAGGCACATATTAACCTGATGATTGCATCGATGACAGCCTGCACACTTTCCACCAGTCTTTGATAGGACTTCCATCACAGCTGAAGTAAGTGCGTTGCAGTGAAGAGGGTCGATTTGTCTGGCTATGTCGTAATCTGCGCTCTAATTCGTCCCAGAGGTGTTCTATGAGATATAGATCAAGGCTCTTAGAAGGCCAGTCCAACCCAAGTCTCGATGTGTGAATGAAGCCTGCAGAAAAATGGGCCTTCCCTGAAATATTGCCATAGAATTGGGAGTGTCCACAGACATCTAAGAATTCATGTTTTCAAACACCATTATGTTCCCACCATCATAACATGTTCGCATACTTTTGTCCAGATAGTGTACTATTCCTTTTAGTTCAAAGCATGTATTTTACATCTTGGTTTCATTTTTAAAATTGTATGTGTTTTGTCACAAAAGTTGGATTGTTCAAGTATAATATCAAGGTTCCCAACCAATGCCCAAGTTAGCATTAAAAAAATCTAAACAACCACCTAGAAAGCCAGCAGAAAGGGGCAAAATAAAAATTTGCATACTATTGTAAAATACAATATATTTTTTTCCCTTTGAATCAATCAGATAATAACAAGCAATTTTAAATGTCTAGATTTATTTTATAAACAAGATCAATATTGCTATTTGTTCAATATGTGAGATTAAATGTTTAAGAAACTCTAATATGTGCTTATTTCCAGATAAAAAAAAATTACAAAATAAATATAAATTTTTCCATACATAGGGTTTGTTTTTGCACATATGTTTGTCATAATGGTTTATTTTTTACACATTTGCACACATTTCTTGCATGTGTGCTTTATATCTAGAAATGAGTGAGGCAGACTATGGAATCAAATTACTCCTAACATAACAAAGTTTTATTTCAGACTGTGTAAAACGGCGCCTTGAAATTAAAATGTGTGATATTCTAAAATTACTGCACTTTATGTGTATTTTTAAGAGCTTTGTCAAAATGATATTCACATTAAAAAGAGAAAGAAACAAAAAATTGCTATTAAATAATTGGTGAAGAATGGGGAGTGAAAAATATTAAAACTTGTTTACCTGTTTGAGCATGTTCTAATGATCACTCGATAACTAAACTCTGTTTCCAAATTTTTGTCTTTCCTCGCTTACCTGATTATCCTGAATTAACTCAGGTATGTATATATTGCAAATATTTGTTATCCCGAGTAAACACGGGAATGGCAGATTTCGTCAATACGTTTTGTTTTATCTCGTTTTTACTCAACCGGAAGCAAAACAAAAAAATAATAATAATCTGCTTTGATTGGAAGTTTGCCAATTTTTGTTTGGGAGTTTTGCTATTTCTGGGACTGCAGGCGTGTTTTGTCTAATTGTATATACGATGGTTGATGAATTTACAAACAAAAAAAGAAAAGGAAAAAATTACGTTCGCGAGTGAAAGTAATGCAGATGATTTTACAGATTATGAAAATTTGAACATATACAAATACTTTTTTCATTTGCCAGAGATAATTTAGGAATGCTAAACTGATGACAAATTAAATATTTTTTACGCTTAAAAAAATTAAAATTTCAACTTAGAACTTGTGTGTTACCTTTTGTTTTTGTTCCTTGTATTTATTAATGAAGTAAAAATAATATGTTGGTTTTATGCATTTTTTTTTCTAAAAAATTGGTAAGGAAAGTGGTTAAATAGCAAAACACCTTACCAATAAAGTTATTTCAGTTGTTTTTATTCCTATTTATAGAAATCGGTCAGTTTTATATATTTTTATACAAAAAGCAATTTGGATGCAGAAAATTGTATTTCTTATTTAAGTATGTATTTTTAATTTTAGCACCTGCAATGGCACCTAAAGAAACGTGCATATCATTTCGAAGGACAATTATTAGTGATGATGGCTCTAAAGTCTCGTGCAAAGTTTACCAGTGCCCATTCTGCCCTTACACTTCTAATTATCGATGGTGCGTGAAACAGCATATGCGTGTGCACACTGGTGAAAAACCTTTTAAGTGCGATGATTGTGGTAAAGTATTTACCAATAAGAGTACTTTAAAGCATCACATGTATATGAAACATAATCTCTGAAAGTTTGTATTTTATGTTGTATATTATGCTGAATGTTGCAAATAATGTTAATGTATAGTATGGCTTTCAGAAGAGCTCCGTTGTTGCGGGTACCATGGTTATGAGGAAAAGTCACTTCAAATAGGGGTGTGGGTGAATAGTTTTGACTTGATCTTGTATTGGTCAGCGTGAGTAAACCAATCTACACCTTCATTTCTCTATTGCACGCCCATTAGAACTGTGCTCTCGCTTGTTACCATAGCAGCAGACAGTCCCAGACTTTTAGTCTGGAGGAGTTCACTTCATAGCTATTAAAAAAGAGATACTTTTTTGATTTAAAGCCAGTAAAATATAATTTGGGTAAAAGCTTACCTCTTCTTTAAATCACTTCTTCTCTTCGGGTCTGACCGTATTTTTCCTGTTAATAGATACCTACTTCTCGTTGAGACTCAATTATTAACTATTAAAAAGAATAATAGGAAAACTTTAATAAAGATAATTACAATTAAAGCATAGAAGTAAATATTTTAATCGAAGCGGTTGCTCCCTTTGTTCCTTCCCTTCCTTCGTATTTGAAAAACAATAATAATACATAAGCTTATCAGTTTGGCTACAGCTAAAATGAGTTTTGGTTTTGTCCGCTAGATGGAGGTGACGGATTCGCAACAATAGCCACACAATGCAGTATACTCTTGATATCTCAAAATGGAAGGGGCGATAAAAATGTTTTGAGATAGCGAGTTTTTGAGTTGACAAGTTCAGATCTAAATACGTTTCTAAAAAGTTAACAAAAATATATTGTAAAATATTACTCTAAAAATTAGAGTCGTGAAACATAAGAATAACTATTAAATATGATGATAGTTGACTATAAGTCTAAATACAACAATGATAATTTTATTTTTAACAGTAAAGCAAAAATAATTGTGCATTAAATAGAAAAGAATTGGTTTACAATGAATTTACATTGCGATTTTTCCAAAAAAAATAATTTTCTATTTTGAAAATTTTTTGACATAGCAAGATTTGGAGATGACACCCATCAACATAGGAATTCAAATTAACATTAGGTGGATATGTAATGCTAAGGCGAAAAATATTTTTTTGACATAACAAGGTTTTGAAGCTATCAAAGTTCACGAGGATATCAAATAAATAATCCCAAGAAACTGGAGCAGTAACGTTACCCGATTGAAATAAATAAATATGAGATAACAGTCCATAAGCTTCAAAAATAGATGTCCATTTTCCAGACTTGCCAGACATGAATGTATAAATAAGAATGATGTGAAATTATCAACAAGAAATGAAAAAATAAAGGTGGGAAACAAAACTAAGAAAACCACAGGCACAAGAAAAAAAGATGAAAAACAGAACAGAAGAAATCACAGTAGTCGAGAGGCAAATCAGGGGAATAAAATGCATTTCCACACATTGTGAAGAGGTGGGGAGGAATTAATGAGGTTGACAAGGGAATCAGTTTTCAAAAGAATAAGTTGCCTATTTTTGAAGCACATTGACTTATTTTATATTCAAATAAAGTTTTCAATCAGATAATGTTAGTGTATGTTGAAAAATATTTTAGTAATCCCTTATATAACCTGTATATATGCTACATTTAATCCCTTCATATCAATTAAAAATTTAGTGAAATAGGTGCATTTTTGTTAATAAATGTACTCGTGAAGCTGTAGGGGAAAAGTGAGTTGTATGTATTTAACAATTTCTATACAAATTATTTTTTTGCATATTTTTAACTAACTTGTCTAGTTAGTTGAAACTAGATGTTGATTTTACGAAAATTTGTGGTATACACCTAATTATATGCTTTATTATTTTAACTCTTATTGAGTCTATTTTATTTAACACTTGAAAGACTGAACATTACTGCATACACCTAGAAAGACTGAAAGGGCCAATTTAGCTATTCCATGATTGTTTGTCTATAGATTAGACATCCAGAATCTTAAAATATAATCATAATTAATTTAATAAAAACATATTATAAACTTGATTAGATTATTGAGTCTCCTTTTCTCTATAAATACTAATTATAGATATGTTGAAATACTCTTGTTTTTATAATAAAACTTGGATACCTTATATTTTTGTACCTTATACTTTTGGTATACTTAAGGGCATGTTGTACAAAAACTACCTGAAGTTGTGAAATATCTATGGTGCCATTTTTCTTATATATGTATATATAGATAAGTATGTGTATATATATATGTATGTATATATAGATATGTTTCTAACATGCAGAAATGATGGTGCTCCAGAAAAAATCCGGATTTTTTGCTGGTTGCTTTCCGGAAATCCAAAGTTCAGGAATTTCAAGAAATCATCACTCACATTTATGGAAAAAAATTCTTGAATATTTCATTTAAAAATCTTATAACTAGAATATCTACTTGACATCTCTTTCATTTGGAAATATTTTTTCTGGTAGAGTAATATATCTAACTAGTGATAAAAGTATAGTTATACGTAATTATTAATTTTAATTGAGCTGCATATAATTTATTTAGAATTTCATGATGGGAAAATATCAAATGATTTAAATTTATGAAGACATTAAATTTTTGAAATGTGTTGTTTATGATTTTACTCAAGAAATTTTCAGGATTTTTGAGTTGGGTTCACAATCGCACCTGAACATGTGAATGATTAAATAAGCACTTAAATTGTATCAAATTATGAAAGGTCAGAACATTTCAGGTAAGTTATTTTTCGAATTAAAGAGAGACAAAAAATGATTGGCCTTGTCTTTTTTTATGTTAAATTTACTTAATATAATTGAATTTTCAATAAATTTTGAGTATTTGATTGATTGCTTTGTATGAGGTCTGAATATTGTATTATATTTATTTTATGTGACTATCACTTGATTTTAAGTGTTACGTACAAGGATAAGTAAAATAATTATTTTTATATTTGACAAGCTGTATTAAATTGGGTTGAACATTAGTGGAATAAATTGAAGTGATTATTAATAATTGTAATATTTTTTTAAAGCAATTGTGATACAAATAATTTGTTTGTTTCTTTCAATTTAATATGTTCATTTATATTGAAACTTGAAATAATGCAGTTTCCTACATTACCCTATTATCTATAATTATGGATTTTTGTTTATTGTAGTTTACTTATCATAGCTGATTTGAAATATTAGACCTGAATTATGTAAATATTGTTTTTCGTTTCAGTTATATTTCATAACTATCATTCCTTAATGATTATAATTATAAAAATTTAATAATTTAAGTATAGGTTTTATTGATCTAAATCGTGTTGAATATTAACTGTTAATTTCTAATTGCAATGTTTTTTTTCTCCTGTATACTTATTGAAAAAGTATTTGATTGAATTCTTTTGTTATGTGTATCTTTGTAAATTATAATCTGTTTTTTTTTTTCATTGAAAATTGCACTAAATATGAATAAAAGATTTTTTCCCTTTCTATTTGGTAATGAGAGTGAAATCATAAAAAGTTTATGAATATCCATTAGTGCCCCATTTAGTTAAATATCTCAGAATAAATAAGTCACACTTAACTCACCCCTATGGCAGAATCGTGGTGACATTGTGGCAGAACGTTAATGGTGCATATATATATATATGCTTTTTTGAGAAAATGAATTCCCACAAATAGTACATTTAAAAGGTTTTTCACCAGTGTGAGTTTTAATGTGTGCCTTAACATTAGACATTTTAAGGGAAGAATATTCACAAAGACAGCAACTATGAAGAGGGTAAACAACTTTACCGATGAGAGATTTTGTTGTTATAAAAAGTTGGCGGGCAGGAGTGACACAATCTGCAAAAATAGGAGCAAATTATAATTGTGAAGGTAAAGATAGTCAGATTAGCACAAGACATTTCCACAAAGAAGAAATATATATTTTTCTCCTTCCTCAGCAATTTAAACAATAATTTTGTAGAAGAAATATTATCAGTCAGTATCACATTATACTTTCAACCCCCGTGGCAACAAGACCGCAGAACGTTATCGAGTTCTCGCAGAAAGACTTTTCCATTGGGAAATAAAAAAATTTGTTTTTCTTTTCTGCAGAAATTTTTGAAAGATTTTTTCCTTCCTTCAGAATTATATTCAAAGGTACCTTTCTCGCGCATCGGAGTGGAGGGAAAATGTTTGTGATTTTTCTGTTCTCATTTGAGAATAATGAAGTAAAAAGTTTTGGTTTTCTTTTCTGCAGAAATTTTCTTTCAACTTTTTTATGCAATCAGTTATTACTATGTATTGATTTCTACATAGCTTTTAAAATCAAATATTTTTAATACTGTATTATTTATTGCAACAACTGAGTCTCAAAATGAAAACACGCATTTTGTAACCCCTTTCTGAAGAGTCCGATTTGCGTGATTTTGCCATCGATCTTTTTTTTCGGTAGTTACTGCTACGGATTTCTTGATTTTTTTTTAATATTATGATTTATGAAAAATGAAGAAAAAAAAATAATTAGTGTCTTTTCCCCCTAAAAAATACAAGAACATCGGCATAATATTAGAATTTAAAAACATATTACATATTCAATTAAAGTTTTTTTATTTCTTTGAAGTTGACGCTTCTGTTACTCTCCTAAATCCTAAGCTGGCTAATCCAGAGGGGCTAAATCCTCCTCTGCCGCCCACCAGTCCCTGGCTGTATTATTGCAATATTATACTGATGAGCCTGGATGGCTCAGGGAATAAAGTGTTCACCTTCCGATGAGTTGAACTGGGTTTAAATCCGAGTCGTGGCTTGTCGATACGAATCCGGCTTGCGCCAACTGCAGTGCTGGCTGAAATATCCTCAGTGGTAGACCGATCATGGATTAGAGTCCCTTTGCCGTCAGACTAGCCGTGAGAGGTTCTCATGGTCTTCTCTCTAATACAAATGCGGGCTAGTTCCATCAAAAAGTCCTCCACGAAGGCAAATTTATTCCAATACTTGATCCAGGAGTTCAAAATTACAAGGATGCGGAGTTGAACATTAGTATTCGTAAACCCAAAAATTAGGTCAGCTGTTCAACGACAGTTTTAATATAAAATACTATACTGATAGGGCCAGGATAGCCTGGTTGGTAGGGAACCGGGCCCATGTCCAAGAGGTTGTGTGTTCAATCCCCGCCAGCCAAAGACTCCCCATGTAGTAAATGGTGACTGATGCATGTTAAAACTGTTCAGTCACAAAGTTCTTCATGTTCCCATAACAAATCATACCTCTGGGAGTAATGATCCAGCAGTTTCCTTGTCTTCTAGATTGGTTAAAAATACCAAGGCTGCGGAGTTGAACATTAGTGATCGTAAACCTGGTTATAAAATATTATGACTGATCAAAATGAATATGAATGAAAAGACTAGTTTATAGAAGTACCTATGCAGTGTGACACTGCTCAAAGTGTCATTCATGAATTAGTATTCTGACTAAATGGAGCGATGATGAATATTCTTGCATAATGATACCTACCTGATGATATACCTATAGTGATGTTCAATTTAAACACTGTTTTATAACAGTGATGTTTATGTGAGCTATATTTTTCAAAGTCTGGTTTAGTTTAGGCCCATTCTTGCAATAGTAGATTATTTTGTCCCACTTCCTGATTTGAGAAATACTATTTTGCAAAATAATATATAAAACGTAATATATCGCAATATATGTTTGCAACATAAAATAATATATCGCGATATATGATAAATATTCCTACATAATGATACCTACCTGATGGATATACCTACAGTGATGCTCAATGTAATCACTGTTGTATAATTGTATATTGTATAACAGTGGTGTGTGTATGTGAGCTATATTTTTCAAAATCTGGTTTAGTTTAGGCCCTTCCTTGCAATAGTAGATTATTTTGTCCCACTTCCTGATTTGAGAAATATTATTTTGCAAAATAATATTTGAAACGTAATATATCGCAATATATATTTGCAATATATCGTAATATATGTTTGCAACATAAAATAATCTATCTCGATATATGATAAATATTCCTACATAATGATACCTACCTGATGGATATACCTACAGTGATGCTCAATGTAATCACTGTTGTATATTGTATAACAGTGGTGTGTGCATGTGAGCTATATTTTTCAAAATCTGGTTTAGTTTAGGCCTTTCCTCGTAATAGTAGATTATTTTGTCGCACTTCCTGATTTGAGAAATATTATTTTGCAAAATAATATTTGAAACGTAATATATCGCAATATATATTTGCAATATATCGTAATATATGTTTGCAACATAAAATAATCTATCTTGATATATGATAAATATTCCTACATAATGATACCTACCTGATGGATATACCTACAGTGATGCTCAATGTAATCACTGTTGTATATTGTATAACAGTGGTGTGTATATGTGAGCTATATTTTTCAAAATCTGGTTTAGTTTAGGCCCTTCCTTGCAATAGTAGATTATTTTGTCGCACTTCCTGATTTGAGAAATATTATTTTGCAAAATAATATTTGAAACGTAATATATCGCAATATATATTTGCAATATATCGTAATATATGTTTGCAACATAAAATAATCTATCTTGATATATGATAAATATTCCTACATAATGATACCTACCTGATGGATATACCTACAGTGATGCTCAATGTAATCACTGTTGTATATTGTATAACAGTGGTGTGTATATGTGAGCTATATTTTTCAAAATCTGGTTTAGTTTAGGCCCTTCCTTGCAATAGTAGATTATTTTGTCGCACTTCCTGATTTGAGAAATATTATTTTGCAAAATAATATTTGAAACGTAATATATCGCAATATATATTTGCAATATATCGTAATATATGTTTGCAACATAAAATAATCTATCTTGATATATGATAAATATTCCTACATAATGATACCTACCTGATGGATATACCTACAGTGATGCTCAATGTAATCACTGTTGTATATTGTATAACAGTGGTGTGTATATGTGAGCTATATTTTTCAAAATCTGGTTTAGTTTATGCCCTTCCTTGCAATTGTAGATAATTTTGTTCCACTTCCTGACTATAGAAATATCTTGCAAAATAATATTTGCATAATATATTGCAATATAATATTTACAACATAATATATATTTGCAATCTAATATATATTGCAATATATGATAGATATTTTTACATAATGATACCTACCTTATGAATATACCTACAATGATGCTCAATATAAACACTGTTGTATAATAGTGATGTATATGTGAGCTATATTTTTCAAAATCTGGTTTAGTTTACTTGCGTAGCAGGAAATTTTTAGTGCAATTTTTCCCAGGAGACCTTGGTGGATTAATACAGTATAATATTTTTTAATTTATGAATAAGTATTCTAACCAAACTTTTAATGACTGTTTATCACAATTTTTGTTGTTTTTGATGACAAAGTTCTCATATTACATATTGTAGTAAATTTTTTTGCTGATTATCAAGGGTTAGCTATTCCATTTTAGAGATCAACAATTTCTTTCTTTCAAGAAACTGAACAGTAATTTTTTTTTTCTTGCACATGTAATAACAGTATTTGAGAATATAGTTATAAAATATATTGCACATATCCTAAGCTTTTATATAGAGGATTTTTCATAAATTACAAAAAAAAAAAAATTTATAATAGAGGAGGAAATTTAATGAACTTTTTCTCAATAAATAAAGGAGGAAATTTAAAACCATATTCTTTTACTAAATCCAAAAAAGCCTTGATGAATGAAATGCTTTTGTTATTGTGATATTTCATTCCAATATATCTTGGAATATATCTTGCCTTCAAATGGCTAATTTTTATCATGATCATGTAAAGTCTTTAGTAGTTATTTTGCATTTTGTTAATGTGTATAGTGCTTAAGAATGTTTTTTGAATGCTTAAAATGTACTTTATAGGTGCTTATTTTTTGTCGAAAGATTTGGCTATGCACCCAAAAGAAATTAGCAGATTGAAATTATATATATGAAAACCAGATTTTTAAGTTACTAACAGCCAAGCAGTATTTTCTCCTTTTACTTGCCACTTTGGTTTTAGGATATCACAGTTGCATCAGATCCAAAGTGATTTTTAACTTACTATGTTTTGATGTAGACACAAATGTTTATCTTATAGATTATGTGTGTTAATAGGTAAATGATTGGACTAGTACTTTTTTGACAAAATAACCAGTTTCTATAAGAGAGTGATCAGCACTAGTTGGTGAAGCCCAAGTAATGTAACTTTTTAAGCCCTGCAGTGGACTGATCCTAAAGCTACGTTTCCCGGTAGAACACCCAAATCAAGCATCACTGGCTGCGGTCAATAAGCAGGTGGATGACAACTTTGATCAGCCTGCGTAGGGACCAACGGTGTGCAGCATTGGTCCTCGTTAAACTGCTCTACTGTAATGTGCTCGACTTCGCTCACTGGTCATCGTTCTACCAAAACAGGGGAGCCATCTTCTCTGTAATGGATCAAAATTGCAATGGCATGTCTTCGGATTATATTCAGGGATGCTTCCCGGATCATCGCCAATCGTGCAGCTCTAGTGTGACGTAAATAAAGTGCCTACCTACCCAACTGTAACTTTTAAGGATCAGTTTTTCTGTATAAAATTCTAGTAATCAAAAACTTCATTAATTAAAGATCTTATTTCCACCACTTAAGAGGTTTTGTATTTAGAAAACTAGTAACAAAGCAATATTCTTCAAGTAATTTTCATTCTTATAATGTTGCCTTTTAAATCATTTTTCTTAAACTTTTTTTTTATTTCAGAATAATTTTTTCCGCGAAACATTCCTACTGTATTCTTTTAATATTATAGAGTTACTTGAAATGTATAACATCCTTAAAGTTTTATAATTTATTAATTTTACTCATTTTAATATCCATTTTATTTTATATATAATTTTTCTCCATGTTTCCTCTTTTGAAAAGTGGAGTATTTTCATTAATGAGGGGAACAAAACTATGTAAGACAAAGTACTAAATTTATCAATTCTATAATTAAAAGCATTATCCATTTAATTGAACCTCTATTAAAATATATTTTAAGTATTGTAAGACTGTATGTTCTTCTTACTTTAGTTAATGGAATCAAAATTATATGCTACTGACTCTTTTGAGTCGAGCTTTTGACAAGACATACTTTTATATTATTTTGGTCTTTACTTAAATAATTTGAAAATAACCTATGCATCCACTGCTCTATTATTAATTCATTTAATAATATTTCAAATTTATTTTCTTGTAGGTGCTGATTTCAGTAATCCAGATTTATATTATGTGTCAAATGTGTTGTTATTTAACAAGAATGTAAAAGTATTTAACTGCTGTGTATGTGACTATACTAGTAACAAAATTTCAAACATGAAGAAACATGTCCTGGTTCATACTGGAATACGACCTTTTGAATGTAATTTCTGTTGTAAAGGTTTTCGACAGAAAAGTGATTTGCAGCGTCATATGCTGACCCACGAGCCAAAACAATGAGATTTATTGGATTTACTATGGGATAAACTTTATATTGCACAAGCTTTTTTTATTACTTTATATGTGAAAACAATTTTTACATTTTGTGTATAATGGAGTTACTACTAAAATGATTTTAAACTAGATTACATGAGTAAAAAGTTGGGGAACTGTTTTAAATACATCTTATTACTGAAGGGTGAACCATTCTGTTTTCACCTTGTAAAATTATGATACAATTACATTGCTACTGGTTTATAAAGGTTTTCCTGCCAATATCCTGCTTTTGTGTGTTTCTTTTAAGAGCCCTTTAATGTGTATATAAGATTCAGTTTCAAATACATTTAGTGCTATTTTATCACTAAAAAAAGCAAAATTTTAAAATTTCGATTTTCTTTTTGCATGTCTATGTAAAGCTGTAATTAGATTTACTCTTGAGGGTAAGAAATTTTGATTGTAAAGAAAAATCATAAAAACAGTAAGAAAGTTGATACGAAGAACATTTTAAAAAAGTTTTATGACTCAAATAAATAAAAGTTTTATTTGAGTCTTGTGAATCTCATTCCGTGACTAAAATGTGAAGAAATTGTCTATAAAAGTATCTTATAGTGGGCTAAAACTAAAGTTTTAAATATTTTTATGTAATTATAAGTAATTAACAAAATGTTATGTTTAATTAAAAATCCTTCTGTCTTTCCAAGAAAAAAGTATTTTATTGCATGCATGATTTTACTTCCTTCTGTTGCAAGTATATTACATATTTTCTGTCATTGCTTAAAGCTCAGGTCTCAGGAGGATATCATATTGATCGTTTTTGATTTACAAAAAAAATGAAGTGGAAGTTTTTTTAGGATTCAGAATTGTATTTATTTATTTTTTTTTAGTTATGCTTAAATGTGTCGTACCATGACCAGAGTCGTATAATATGCGCGGAAAATGTTTTAGTATTACTAAAAAGAAAAAAATATTCCGCTTCTTCAAAGACTGTTTCAAATTCCCGAGAAGAACAAGAAAAATTTGTTTTTACGCTTTTTCCAGCCAATGCAAACGTGATTTAAAGTTAAATTACCATGATTTAAATCACACATCGCGATTCATATTTGCTTGATTTAAAATCCAGCCGCTATAATGATTAATATTCAACTAGCTAAAAAATTATATATCGGAATTCGTATTGATGCAATTTTAAAATCAAACATTGAGATTCATATTTTAACATTTTTAGAATCAAATATCGAGATTCGTATTCATGCAATGTTAAAATCAAACATCGAGATTCATATTCACACGATTTTATACTAACGCGATTTTAAAATTAAACATTGAGATTCTTATTTACGCAATTTTTAACTTAAATTTTGAGATTTGTATTTATATTCACACAATTTAAATATATAAACGAAATCTCGCATTGATATTTTTATTAAGACATTGATAACATTCTGTGGATAAATGTTTACCATATACTTTTTTCTTACTCTAATTTCAGGTATTTTTTTCAATTATTTAAAAAAAAATTTAGCTTACAAAATTTTTGGATTTCTATTTTCACCTTTTTTACCAAACTTATTTATGTGGTATAGAGTTCAATAAATCTATTATAGAGTTTAATAAATCTAAAAAAGAAATCTCTGATTTTCTAACCAATTTCATCAAAATAAGGTATTGCAAAGGGTTGAAACTATCTACGAGAGTTAATCAATGCGTAGAGATAGTTTCTTGAGATTTTGTGTTTACAGAAAGTTGTTCATATTATCTATGTCTGACCACGACTGAAATCGTTTCAAGTTTTAATGGACTGTAACCACACAAAAAAAAAACATTGCAGTACACTGTTCTCTTATAAGTTTAGTACATACTTTTGCCATATAAGCTAAGTCACACTTGATTGATTCAAAGATAAACAACTATAAGTAGCCATATAATACAGTCATATGTTGTTATGTAAAACATAAATCTTTGTTAAACCAGCTCTAGAACCTTAATTTCGTTCAAAAATGCATAATTCACCTGGAATTCAATTTAAGAAAACCCATTATTATTAAATGCAATCAGAGAAAAATAATAAAAAATAGTGCGTGGAGTCCCTCCGCGCGGAAGAAGTGAAACTTCGTAATGTGGAAATGAAAATAGGAAGGGGTAGAAATTGATTTTTAGTGAAATCATATTGTTTCTTTAAGACAAACTTTATTAACATTGCTTACAATTCACAATTGATCGCATCTTTTAATTATCATTTTCGAAATATCCAAATCTATAACATTTACAATGGGATTATGATAACTAAAGTAAAATACGAAATGTTTGAGTTCTATTTTTTCAATATTTCTTGCTAAAACTTCATCAATGGTAGTTCCCCCTTTGGTTGTTGGATCATTCCTACCATTTATCATTTCCAATCCAAATTTGTCTTTAAGGAAGGTTAATAATGTTTCACCTTCAGGTAACGATAATGTTTTATTTAATTTTAAGCTCTTTTTCATGTACTGATAAAAATTCCATGTCTTAACATGGTTAATTGGAGGATATAATTTCTATAGAAAGCCTGAATATAAAATTGATAGACAAAATGTGTGAAGTTTTTTTTTTTTTTTTAGATTTTTAATGGTTTTAACAATAAAACTGAGGAATAGCATATTTTAATTAGATGAATAGTTTAAAAATATAAGTGCTGTTTTTAATTTCTACAATAATATTTTAAATTTTTTATTTTTTTTTATAGGTGGTAATATCTCTACTAAAGATTTATATTATATTTCTAATATCGTGTTACTTAACAAGACTGTAAAAGTATTTAACTGCTGTGTGTGTCACTATACTAGTAACATAATTACTAACATGAAGAAACATGTCCTGGTTCATACCGGAATACGACCTTTTGAATGTAAATTCTGTTACAAAGGATTTCGACAGAAAAGTGATTTGAAACGTCATATGCTAATCCATGGACCAAAAGTTTTGAAATTGATCGGAAACACCATATAACACTATGTGATAAACGTTTTCAGTTTCAAGTATAAAGAAGTATTATGTCTTAAATAAATGTTTATAAATTAGAGATTGTATATGTTAAGAAGTTGGAAATTTTATTTTTCAGCGTTTTGTATTCTCATTTAAGAGCAGTTGTTAAAGATAATTTTTTTTTATTACTGTACAAAGCTGTTATGAACTTTATTTAATAAACAAACTACATCTTTTTCAAGTTTTAAAAAGATTCAGAATTAAAATATATAATTGTTATTTATTTATTTTTAGTGTCGATTAAAATTAGTTACCGCCATGGCTAGCAATGTTTAATGAACATGTTTAATTGTAAATAAAAAAAATGCATTATAATAGACTGGTCCTTAATGGTGCAGTTGTAAAGTGATGAATATGTGGCGTAATTACCATTATGATTATTAAACATCAATTCACTAAAGACCTGCTAACTAAATTCAATCACAAGGTACCTTTTGATAGATGAAGGTTGGCATTGTCAGTTGCCTTTCCCCCCATAAATCTATCATTTTAGTTTTATCACACTACACATTCATATAACTTTAAATTGTAATATGATATTTAAATCTTTACCCAACTTCAGAGATTTTAATGATGTTAAAAAATGCATATTTCTTATTTATTTCAAGGATATATTTAATTATTCAAGGACAACAACCCATAAAAAAAAATTTTTTTTTTGATTGTTGTGAAAGAAAACTATTTTAAAATAAGCTTATAATATTATAAAAAACAAAATATCAATTTTCAAGTTTAGTAGCAAAAACTATCAGTTTTTTTAACTTATAGTTATTGCTACTAAACTTGAAAATTGATATTTTGTTTTTTATAATATTATAAGCTTATTTTAAAATAGCTTTTTTTATTAATCTCTATACACAGTCCTATTTATGTAATTATTTTTTTATTTCATTGTAAGGTTGTTTTATTTAACTGCTGAATTCTTTTTAATAAACTAATTTAAATTTATCCATCTGAATCATTGTGATCAATTGTAGGAAACAGTATCTGAAAGCTTCACATAAAATTAATATAGTACCTGGCCAATTTATTAGACGCACTATAAGATAACATGTAAAATCTTAATTATTAGGTGATACTATACAGCTGCATTGTTTTTATGTGACTGTAACTGATCTGCATTTTTTTACGTTAGTGTATAAATTGGTTCGCATTTAATGTAATACGTTAAAAATAAATACAAATAGAAACCCATTACATGTACATCTAAATATAAGAGTATTGCATATAAACTCGTGCAAAACATGTAATTATTAAAACACTACAGTGTGTCCAATAATTTGATCTAATTATTATAATATACTAATGTAATACCTGATATAGTAATAAATATTCTATATTTATATAAGATTTCATCTAAATTTACATTATAAATCGTCTAATTTAACCAATTGATACACGAACATTAACAAGTCGCGTCAAAACAATAATGCTCTATAGTATCACCTGATAATTAAGATTTTACATAGAATCTTACAGTGTGTCTAATAATTTGGTCAGAACTGTAGATTGACATAAATAGTCCCTCAACCCTTTTTATGAATTGCTTGAAAATTATAATGCTGAAGCAAGGAACTGAACTGGATTTTATTATTTGTTTGTATATATATATTCTGCAAATATTACACATATTTTGGAAATAACAAAAGCCTATTGTTATAAAGACTTTTATTTTTAAAGGGCTTTTTTTAAATTAAAGGAATAAACTAATTTCTATTGAAAATGTGTTTATTTTAAATAATGAATTTATAATAATATGTATTTAAAGTTTTAAACTGTAATACATTAAAGTGATATTCTTTTATTTTGAAGCAGTAAGTCACAAAATTCATTAATATAGTTTATTTCTGCTTATTAATTTGTGTATTGTGTAAAATTTGTAACACACATAGCTGCCAACATTTATAGGAAAAAATCCAGTTGATTTTATAAAATAATATAAATTTAATAATTTTTGCATAATGTACTAAATATTTCACATTTTAGGGATTTTTAAATTATCAAAATAAAGGAACTGCAATATTATCCGGTTATGATTGACATTAAATGAATTTTAAATGCTATATATTATGTTAACTCACGAATAGTAATAGGCATTTCATTCTCAGATAGTTAAAATATTTTTTTTAATTAATTTAGAAAGTGATTTCTGAATAAAAGTAGACTGGATATTTCAACAAATAAGTTTTCAACTGATTTCAATGAATAAAATTCGTTTCATTATATATTAGCAATACTTATTTAAATATTCAAGCAAGCAAAAATCCGTACAAAAATTCGATTTCAATTGGAATTTTTTTAGGAAACTTACTCAATTGTAGGGATTCTTCTAAAATGTACCAAAACCAAGAGAATTTTTATTAGACCAGGAAAAACTGGCAAAATCTAGTAGAGTTGGCAGCTATGAATATATTAATTTGTCAAAAATATATATATATTTTCAACATGTACTTCTATTACATAGTTGTTATATTTAAGTATGTTATGCTATATTGCAGGTTTTGTATTCCATCTTCACCAAAATTTGTTCGACTGCACCAAAATACAAAACGAAAATATGATCTGCAAGCTTTATAGTTGCCAAGTCTGTGCTTATCGTTCCACAAAAATTACTGATATGAAAAAACACGTCCTAATACATACTGGTGAACGACCACACAAATGTAAATTGTGTGGTAAATCATTTACTCAGAAAAGTAATTTACGAAGTCATATGATAACACACAAAAGTAAACTATTACAATCTCAGTTGTTGTAATATTGATGATCTTAATAAATATAAAATTTATATATCAAGTCAAAAAAGTAATTTGAATTCATGTGATAACTCAGAAAAGTAAATTAGTACTTTCCCAGATGTTGGGAAATTGCTGATCTTTGTAAGCATTAAGTTTATGGCAAGTTCGAAAAGTAATTTGTGAAGTTATGTGATTACTCAAAAAAGTGAACTATCATGATACAAAGTGTCAAAAATAGAGCTCAGTAAACATGCTACTAAAAATGTGTACAAATAAGACAAAATGGTTATGATTTAAGAAAATTATGTGCTTTACTTTCAAAATCTTTATTTTTGTGCTTTTTTAAAAAATTTAATATATTTGTAATGATTTCTATTATATATTTGTGTGTAGCCATTTATTTATTCATTACTTCTTATCAGAAATTGATGTAATTCAGTATCAATTCTACAACTATTACAGCTGGCTATTTTATTATTAATATTTTTAAATTGGCAATATGAAATCCTTTTGTGTGAACAGGTAAGCCGAAGAATTAAAAGATTTCTAAGCTTTAGTAGAATTTAGAAACTTTCTAAGCTTTAGTAGAATATATTAACTACAAAACGTAGTTAATATATTTTAAGCCAAGCAGAGAAATTTTATGAAATTTGGAATTATTTCCTTTTAAATATGCTTAAATTACATTCCTTAACACACAAAAAAATGTTTTGTCAAAATTAAAATGGGGCGTATATGCACCATTGACCAAAATAGTGGACAAACTATTTAGTTGAAAACAAATTTGTAATGAATTTTAATTTGTTTATATAACTTGCAACTTTAATCATGTTGAAAACAAATGATTAATCCCTATTAAAATAATTATGCATTTACTAAAAGTCAAATTTGTCAATAACTGCTTCAAGTTAAAAAACTAGCGTTGTTGGAAAAATTCTCAACAGAAAGTGTTTACTCCAATTAAATTATTAATATTTTATAGGCATCTTCATAACCCTTGTCAATGGCAAAAAATACATAATTAGTGAAAAATGCATGTCACAGAGTTAATAAAAAATATTTAATGAAATGGTGCATTTATGCACCTTTGGTCGAAAATGGGTCAAAGGATACAGATTTTGAATAGTTGCCACTTTTTCATCAAAAATGCAACCTTATGAATATTTTATTATAATCTCAAAATTACTTGCTTTCTAAAACATTTTCTTTATTTTAAAATGTAATGTATAACATATTTTGAGAATTACTTAAGAAGAAATTCCTTACATTATTAATATCAACTGTTTTTCTAATTGTTTAAAATTTTCTATTTTTTAAAAAGTGACAACACTTAAAAATGCTACAACTAACTGATTGAAAAATTTCATAATTTTGTCCCCTACTGTAAGCTTCTAATGAATGTATTGAAGACAAAAAAATTAAGGGTGTATCATTTAAATTAATTATTTGTTGAATATCTGAATATGATCATTAGAGTTGCTTAAAAAAAGATTGCAAATATCAAGTATTAAATCAAGAACAAAAAGAATGATAAATAAAAAAGAGAACGGATAAAAATATTCATTAATTTGTTTTTCCCCACAAGGTTCTGATGCTTATCTGATAAAGACCCTCATTATAAATATCAATAAAAATATACAATTATCAACATTTAATTATAGTAGCAATAAAGTCTGCAATATGAAAAGCCATTTCTCATACATACAGGCAAATAACCTCAAATGTGTAAATTTTGTAACAAATTATTTAAATTATTGTCACATGTGATTATAATTTATATTTGCTATTAATAAGTTGTCATCGAGTACTCTAAAATAAGAGTTGTCATTTTATATTACTCAATTACATAATATAAATTACAAATACTTTTTATCCAAATTTTCCTTTTTTTTTTTTTTTAAATATCTTAATAAACTCATATTTAAAAATATTGGCTATTACATTATGTATAGCTTATTACAGTGAATGAGAAATTTTTAAACTGTTCAGTTATTGAATTTTAATCTAATTTAAACTTTAAAAGAAAGAAATTATTAATTCAAATTAAATATAATACGGCAAAATACTATACTTGCAATGCAACACTACTAATATTATTTGCAATATAACATTTGCCAATAGAAAATTTAATCTAAGTGTTTGATTCATTGATCATTTACTTAAGTATTATTTTAGTTATGTAAGAAATATTTTATTAAAATTTTTTGTAGCTAACAAATTTTTTTAAAAATTATTTAATTAAAATATTGCAATCAAACAAGTATGTTTAAAAAAAATACAGGCTGTTATCAGTTTTATCTATTTAAGAATGAGAATTCCAATACAGTGAATGGGAAATTTTTAAACTGTACAGTTATTGAATTTTAGTCTAATTTAAACTTTAAAAAAATTATTGATTCAACTTTTTTTTCAAAATACCATATTTGCTATATAACATTATTTACAATATAACACATGCCAATAAAAGATTTAAATGAAGTATTTGATTCATTAATCATTTACTTACGTATTATTTTCATTGTAAAATTTACTTAAGAAATAGTTTATTAAAATTTTTTGCCAAACATTTCTTTAAAAAAATTATTTAATTTAAATATTGCAATCAAACAAATAGGTTTGAAAACATTACAGGCTGTTATCAGTTTTAACTATTTCATATTGTTCGTTTCAATATTTTGGGTATTAGTTTTTTAAAACTGTTTATTCTATTTAGAGAAAGTTATATATAAAACTTTGTTTTTTAATGTATACTAACCAAATACATAAATAATTTTTTTTGTGGCAATATTTCTTTTATTTAATTTGGTTTTAATTGTTTTCTTTGATTCTAAAACTTTTTTCGCAAAATTTAAAATGTTTATTTTTTTTATCCCTCTAAATGTTTAGTATATTAATGGATTAAACATTTAAATATATCTTCAGCCTAAATAAATATGTTTTCATTTCAATGTTGTCTATGAAAGTGTTATTTAAATTTTTTTTAGATAAGTTAACAGCTTCATCATTTATCATTATTATTAATATCTGGAACCAATGACAGGGTTGCCACTCCACAGTGAAAATTTGGAAAATACAGGGAATTTTGATTTTTTTCCCCTTATGAACAGGAAATATTTATTTATTATTTTACAAAATGTTGAGCTCTCAAAGTGCAATCTATGGGATATTTAAAAATAATTCAGCTGTGCTATACTATTTCATTAGCTGTATTTTTTTATGTATGTTGAACTGTTTATTTCTCTAAGTTTTTCCAGCAATTAAGTATTAATTATCCTAATATAGCTCACACATTTGCACAGTGATTTTGTGTTTCCTCTTGATATATTGCATAATATATACACTTTTTTTTATAGATTTGAGTGGCAACTCTGGTGCGTTTTTTTTTTTTCCAATACCGTCTATAAAAGTGTTATTTAAAAATTTTCCAGACAAGTTAGCAGCTTCATCATTTATCATTATTAGTAATATCTTGAACCAACAAATTTATGGATGCACATTCTGCGATTACACGGCTTATCACTGTACTGCATTAAACCAACATGCACTTAAATATGAAGAGGAAAACTTTTCCTATGCATTGAATGTGGTAAAGCATTAAAGTTATACAAAAGACTCATTAAAAAAAGCCTTTTCTCAAAACTCAACAAAAAATACAACTTTGTTTTAGTTTTTTTTTTATTACTCTAAATATTTAAAATAAGGCAATTCCCTCGTTTACAAATGTCATATTTGCAGACTTTAAATACATATAGCTAAGTTTAAAAAAAAATTGCTCTAGTATTTTTTTTTTTTTTTTTTTTTTTTTTTTTTTTTTTTTTTTTTTNGACTTTCTTTTTTTTTTTTTTTTTTTTTCAAATTAACTCTTGGCATCATTTACACTTCAATTTTTTTAAATCTTTGATTTTGAAATTTTTTTTAAAAATTATGATATTTACTAACATTTGAAGTCACCACTATTTATTTTAACAAAAATTATTAGAATTCCTTGTTGATTTTATATGTATATACTTTTTACTGTCTGGCATTCAAAAATGGTTATTGCTCAAATAATAATGAATCAAAGATTTAAGACTATCCATAGCCTATGTCTTATATACATGTTTATTTTCCAATGAAAACACTACTTTCAATTTTTTAGGCATATCAACAGCCTTGAAAAAAAGATATATCGTCAGTAAAATTGCAAACCAATCATGTTATCCATGCTCGTTCTGTGACTACTTGGCTTGTGACCGCACAACATTAAACAGGCACATCCTTAAACACACAGGAGAAAAACCTTTTGTATGCACTGAATGTGGTAAAGCATTCACTCGGAAATGGAATCTGGACTTACATACGGCTAAACAACATTAAAAAGTGAAGAGATAATTCACCAATCAATTTAACACATGGTTAAGTTTAACGCCAATAAAATTCTACAAGGTGTTCCAAAATTCATGCAAGAAAGTAATTTTGATAAAAAACACCAAGTTTAATTTTCATAAAGTATGCAGTATAAGAGTTTTGTATGAAATAGCATATTGGGTCAATGGCTTTAATTTTGGTACACCTTTTATATTATTCATGGTAAAAAAAAAATTTATATCACACATTTAAAATTTATTTTATCATATGAAATATATATTATTCTCATTTAAAGTAAAAATATCATATGTTCTTAATCAGAGGAATAGTATTTGTGACACTTCCAACATGCAAAAAGTTGTTAAACTATGTTAATTTTATGAAGCAGCAATTTATCTTTCGGCAATTTCAATTTAGGATAATTGAATATTTTTTAACTGATTTAATTTTTATTCAAAGTTGTTACCACTTTCAAAATGGGCTAACATTTTGGACCTTTAAAATTTCTCTTTATTGGTAAAGAAATTTTTTCAATTTTTGCATGCTAGTTATATTTAAATAAATGTAACATTTCTTTGTATTGACAAACTTTCACAGTGTCTATTTTGGTGATATTTTATGAAATCAAAATGCTTTTAATGTAAATATACATGTACTTCTGATGCAATATTAACATTCATTTAAACTTACTGCAAAAAATAATACTTCACAAGCAATTTAGCAATATTAAAAAGAGTTGAGGATGACAAAAGTAGATGTCTTCTCAAAACCACTGATAAGACAGAAGATCCACTTTAAATAAACTCAAACAAAGGTCTCTAGAAAACCATGTTTCCTAAAAAAAAAACTTTCTCACTTTATTGTAAATATTGTAGCCCTATATGTATGAATTTGTTATTTCTAAATCAAAAACCTGCTAGTTTAAGCATGTATATACATACATTTTATTTATATAATATTTTTGTTGTATATTTTAATTTAAAATACACAACACCAATAAAACAGTTTCTGTAAAAAAGAAAGAAAAAAAACAAAACCAAATTGGGAAGATTTGTAAATCAATATCTGCTTCAAAATAATCATTACATGGTGCCAACAAGCACGTGAGAAACAAAAATAGAATGGGTCTAGCTTAAATAATTAAAATCATAGAAAGTTTTAGGCAAGTCTTTTTTTTTTTTTAATTTATTCCAAGTACAATAACCGACATGGCCGTCTTAATAGCATGCAGGGCCCCTATAACATATCATAATGTTTAAAAACGAACTAAAATACTTCACATATATAAAATAAATCATTTTTAAGATATGATGCAACAAATTTAACCACATTTTGATTATCTGAAAAACACAAAAAAAAAAGCATTTTTAAACTATGTATAATCAGAAAAAAAATTTATATGCTAACCAGTTTTAATCCTCAAATAATAAAATTTTCAAAGTCATGGAAGTTAATTAAATTAAATAAACATTAAGGTATAACAAATTAAAATAAATTCAAAAGGTAAGAATTATTTTGTCAAACTAAACAGTTATTAAAACATCTTTCAATGCCCAAGTACCTTTTCATTGGAACGTAGAAAAATAGATTTCGGTTGCCTTTTTTAAGTTTTCTTGTTAATAAACTATTCAAATTATTAGTGATTGCATGACTATCAATCACTATTTGTAGAAAAAAAATGCACACTTTATGTAGTAGAATATATTTATTTTAAAAAATATATAAGACAATGTTGTTTATTCTTTAAACACAATTTATAAAAAGTAAGATTCTCAAGGGCCCCTTGAGTGCCTGGGGCCCCCGGGCACTGCCCAGGTGTGCCCATGCGTAAAGACTGTACTGATAACTGAATATAGCTCACATGATGATTTCAGTTAGAAAGAACTAGTAATGATATAGACCAGTTTAATTACTTTAAAACACTTAAACTTTGAATGTTTTGTTTTTTTGAAGAGAGGATGCAAGATTCCTTAAAAACCTTTTTCAGCTTCCCGACCGCCCCCCAAAAAAATTTCTTTTAATTTTATACCTAAATAAAAATGCATGTATGAAACAAAATTATTTACATTCGTTTTTTTCCTTCATTTAATTAATATCAAAATTTATACTAAATATTCTCGTTATCATTCATGAAAGATTTGAACGTATTCAAAAACTTGACCCTGATTATATCTCTTTAAAAATTCTCATTACTAATGTCACATGAAAACCAATGTATGTATACATAATTTATATTTCATTTCTATTATGAAACAAAAATTTGATAGCAACTTAATTTTGCAAAATGTCTATTCATTAAAAATATTGTACTTGAGTCATTATTTTATCATATATTAAGTGTACAGGACGAATTTTTAAAAAAAATGTCTCCAGATTGTAATTTATGCTTATTTTCGTTCCCCAATTATTTCACAAGGATTTCTTTTTTGGTACTTTTCCATTTTGACGGCTCAAGCAAAAAAGTTGCCAGTGAAAAGTCACCGGGTTTATGTTAATTCACCTTTTTTTGTTGATGTCTATTTAAAAAAAATGATAAAAAGAAAAGAAACAAATTTTATAAAAATTATTGACTTTACTTGCATTGGCAAAATAGGAAAGTACCATTTTTTTTTCCTTAGAAGTTTTGTGTTAACGACAACAAAAGAGTACTTTATTTTTATGTTAAATTGCGATACATGGTTGCCACTCCACAGGGAGAATATGAAAAATGTGCAGAATTTAAAAATCACTAAAAATAATAGAAAAAATGCAGGGAATTTTGAATTTTTCTTTAGAAACTGGGAAAAATGCAGGGATTTTTATTTTCATCTTTTTAAAAAAGGTAACCACTCAAAGTGCACTCTACAGGATATTTAAGGATGATATTTCAGCTATATTAAACTAGTTCATTGACTATAGTACTGTTTTAAATATAATTTCTTCTTAATATCTTGTGTGCAGGGAATTTTTTTTCCAGATTGGAGTGGCAACCCTATGATAGTAAATTCTATTTTAACTATAGTTTGTCTGTGGTAAGAACTCCCCCCACCACAAAGTCTGAGGCCATCTGCTGCTATGGAAGCAAGAATAGTTCATTTCAGGGAGGGTAGCTTCACTTTTCTCTGGGGCCAACACAATAGACTGCAGAAAAAGATTCCCTTTCTCTCGCTGGCCCCAGCCAAAACCTGTCCTAAACAGTGACCCTACATCCAATAATTATGCCTCGCTACCATGGTCACCACCACGGGTCCAGACGAATGGCTAGGGGAGTTTTAACTTTAAACAAACTATAAGTGCTTAAATAAAAATAGTTATTTCAAATACACTAATGTTTTGAATGATTATTTTCATAGGTCAAACATTTAAAGATATGATGGTATTATACACTTCTACAAAAATGACAACTGATAGTAAGCTCAACTTTAAGCTGCTTCAGTGTTGCTACTGTAAATATTCTTCTCACGATGGTTCGAATTTCAAACGGCATTTACTTACCCACACTGGTGAGAGACCGTATAAATGTCCAATTTGCTTAAAAACATTTGTGCAAAACATTCACTTACAGAAGCATGTAAGATTTGTTCATTGTAAACAAAAATGTTAATAAATTATTTGAGAAGAAACCAAGTATTTCTTATTAAGTCTCACTGTTTAAATTGTTCTCAATTCTACGCACCTACCAACATTTAGGAAATAAAATAACGGAGATTTTACTAGCGACATTTTTTTGGGTTACGCGTAAAGTTTTGATACATCATGCATAATCATGTAAGTCAGAAAGAGAAATTTAAAATTGGAAATAAAATAAGCACTTACATTTAGCGAAGTAAAAAATATCTATATAAATCTTAATGTAAAGAAGATTTTTTTAAACCATTATTTATAATTACTTAAACTACAAACACTCAACATACTGCAGTACTGGCGATAGCACCATTTGTTGAGGAATAAGAGAAGTATTTTTGCCATTAGCAGATGTTTTGTAGCCAAAAATTTTTTATTTTATTTATTCAACAAATACGAAGAAAATATACCGGCAAACACGAGATAGGCATGAATCTCAGGAGACTTAGCAGGCATGATTTTAGACAAAATGCTAAGTTTAATGCATACGAGCAATTTGTTTTAGACATTATCTTATGGATATTTATCTAGACATATTACCTCTCTCGGCTAACTAGTGATTTATATAGCAATTATGATTGCAAGAAAAACCAATCTATAGTTTGACAAACTTGTTACTTAAATGCTATGTTAAAAAGACACTATAACTATTATGACGCTGTTAATTAACACTACAGAATTTTAGAATCGTGTAATAAAGGTATTGCATTGATACTAAAGCCAAAATGCTAAATCAACATAGGAAAAACAAATTATTTTTTTACTGGGGTCATTTTAGGTGTAGGTATTTTATAAATGTTGCAATAGAGCTGCACAATGGGCTATTGAGGATGGTCTCTGAAAAATCCCTGAGGATGATCTGAAGACATGCCATCTCTATCCTCTACAGAGGGGATGGCTATTCCTCGCTGTGTGCAAAGTCTAGCACTTTACGGTAGAACAGTTTAATGACGACTTATACTGCTCAACCTCAGTCCCTACATAGACTGACCACAGCCAGTGATGCTTGACTTCGGTGTTCTACTACTACCGAGTCTTTAAGATCAGTCCTGGTCTATGAACCCTTCACAAAATGTTTTACCTTAATTAACTGTTCACAATATTTTTTTCATCTTTAAATAAGTGTTTGCAATATTTTCACTGTAACAGTATCTGTGCAGAAAGAAACATAAATCAATCTAACCTTAATTTTAGATTCAGAAAATTATAAGTGGATTTTTCATTGTTTCAAAAAACAGGATTTGTCTGAAATGACCCTGCAAATATAACAAAAGGATTATTCGTTTCAAATGATTAATTCTGCAAACTGATGTACTTTGCTGAAGAGCCAGATGCAATTCTGGTTTTGTGAGAGGTGCGAGGAAAAATCTTTATTTATTCAATATTTCCATGAGCCTGTTAAGAAAGAGCAAGAGTGCACAATCTATAGCCTGCTAGCCCACAAAGCCTTTTAACTTGGCCCTTGAATTGTCTTAAATATTATTAAAATATTTAAAAGAAGGAATTTTTTGTTCAGCCACGCACTTTAAAAGTAATAAGTAACTGATTTAGCTTGCAACCTTTCTCAAAGTTTGAGAATTTGACCATTTTGGTGTGAAAAATTATAATTTTTAAAATTTCAATCACGTTTATCACACTAATCTGATACTGTACTAGTAACAAGTTTTATTTTCTGAATTGTGAAAGTATGCTAACTTCTAAGACCACTCAATTACAGAAAAAAAATTTACCAACTTTTCCAGGTATATCAAGTAAATTTTAAATAAAATCCATACCATATCTTATCTATACCATTAAGTTTTTCATCAGAAAACTTTGATTTATTTTATTTTATTTATAATGTCAAACATTAGATTTTGTGAGCAAAAACATATAACAGAATGGGAATTATTTAAATCTAATCTCAATAACTTATTACTGTTATCAACAATTCTAAAATTGGTCATTTTCCAGGTTTTTCTGTAAAAAATTGTAACTTTCCCTGCTTTTTAGAGTTAAAATAAAATTCCCTGACAACTCCATGTTTTTCCTGTTCTCTCTGACGTGTGGGAGCCCTGTAGGATTAATGTACTATTAGTTAAATTTTTTTCCATACCTATAAATTTACCACAAGTGTGTTGTTGTTTTTTTAATTTATTAATTATAATTTTATAACTCATTCATTAAGATTAATTATAACTTTGCAACTCATTCATATTACTTTCACACAGAATCTTAAGTCTTCCTACTTTTTAAAAATCACAGCCGGTGACGAAGTCAGGATTTTATTGAAGGGCAGGCAGTGTCAGGATTTTATCTAACTAAACGACAAAATTACAACTGTCAAAAAACAATTGATAAAACTAATTTGAAATTTAAAATAAAATTATTCTGATAAGCGATGCCATTTTGCTTATGACTTCATAGGGAGTGATATATTAGTTTTCAGATAATAACACTAATAATATCAGGGAAGTTCTTTACTAAGACTAACATTTCTTTGAAGCTAGCAAAGGGATAGGGGGAGAAAGTAAGCAAAATATTTTTCTGTTCAATTATTCCAGAAAGTTACAATAAGTGTCATTTACCATGACATTCTAGTTTTTATTAAATAATATGTTTGTTTTTTTTACTATTTTAGCTGTGAATTTTTTTACTTGTTTTGAAACGGTAGTACACAGTTTTGTAGAATACTATCCAAAATGGTTATGTACCCCATGTTTAGCAAGGTTTTTTTCATTCTCTTATAAAGAATATCAATTAGGTTTCGAGAATTGGTTAAGTGATTACGATAACCCATTCTAGTATTTACTCTTGTGGCAAAACCTCTAAGCAAATATTTTGAATAGTAAACAACAAATGGACATAGAAAAATAAAATGAAATAGGTATTATTTATTTAAAGGTAATTTGACAATTATGACTTTATGGAGAAACCACCTTAGTATCAGATAGATTTCTGACAAGAACAGAATTCACAACTTAATTTTCTTTTCTCATATAATTCCAATCATCCCTATAAATTATGTAAGCAATGCAATCTACATAGGTTCCAGAGTTTTTCCTTTTTTGGTACAGTTTCAGATTTTGTTTAATTATAACCGTCTAGGCATACTCTGTCTTTTAGTATTATCTAATGAGGTATATTATTTAATTTATGTTCACAGTATCCAATCTATAACTTTAGATCAGGTTGACTTAACAAGTCCTAAACCTTGAAACTCTTCTCCCATCCAGTTAATTTGATTGAAGCTAATTGTTCCTGCTACTTTTTGGTTATAAAATATACCAAATGTTAGTCCAGTATTTTTAAAAACAGCATCTTTACAACTAGAAATGAATTCCAAAGTTTTGCTTTCAGTGCAGGGATCTAAACAGGATAGCCACTTTCTTAAGTAAGTCCTGTTTTTATCTAATAAAGAAAACAGTTCTTTTGAATGAGATTCGGGGATATTTCAGTATCGTGATTTGTGGCAGAATAATCGCCAGGTCTTGGCCACTTCTGGGCAGTTGCCCGCTAGAAACTAAAAAAAAATCACAGAAAGGGACCAACTTGAAACGTATGACTCGTAGCCACCTCCAGGCAAACATCTACCTTTTTTATTATAAAAATTAAAAGTTTAAAATCTATTTGGCACCTTTATAATTACAGTTATCGCGACAGATCACGATACGGAAATATCCCCTGAGATTCTATCAACTCTTGAATAGATAAATTTGAATTCAAGTTTATAGATTTAGAAATTTTTGTTAGACCTTTATCATGATTGGGAAAAGAACTGATCGGATGACATACATTTTTATACGAACATCTTTCCATTTCCATCTCTAATGAAAACGTATGAGTACACGACCTCTAGAAAAATAAAACTGATAACTTATTTATTATATGTTGGTAATAAAAGAACTTCTATAGTGTGTTAAAAAAACTGTCACTCGTTAAAACAAACCAATTAACACTAACTATAGTTTACATTTAGGAGTGTGTAATTGCTCAAGACTCAGCTGAACTGTCAACAGAAGTTGACCTGCGACCCATATCCAACTACCTGTTTTGTTTACCAACATTGAATTGTAAGTGAAAGTGCTTAACTTTAATTTGTACCCGTTGCCCTTTATAAAAGCAGAAAAAGTTCAATCAGTAGAAAATAAACTGGAACACTTTTCTTTACTCGTTAACTGTATCCTGAACTTTTGTAGAAAGTAAACAATGGGCACTTCTTAAATTTTCAGTTTTCTTTAAACTTTAAATATATATTATATAACTTGCATTATTTAATATTGTACCTGAATTTTTGTATGTGGTTCTCTTGGGGATATTTCCGTATCGTGATCTGTGACGCCAACAAGATTCGCCAAGGCGCGATTCAACGCAAGCGATCCAGGGAGACTTATGTCTGTGGGTACAACCGGCTGAGCAACTGCGCATGCGCTTGAAATGCTTGGCTAGAATTTAATTTTCACCAAATAATTTCGAAAAGTAACCCTGTTGAAGAGATTGCGCGGAGGTATACATAGTTTGTTGCTTACAGGTGTAATTAAGTGTAATTTCGATTGCTAGTGTAATACTAAGCTCTTTATTTATGATTCATTAAATAAAGTAAGTTAATTGTTTTAAATAATTTTTTTCTGTTTATAATATTGTATCAATGTATTTAGAAGCGTTTACGACATTTTATAATTCTAATTATCTGTGATAAAGTAGTTAAAGATTTCCACGTTACTGAGTTAGGCTTAGTTACATATTTGTTTTCCTATTTTATCTTTGATAAAATAGGAAATGTAATATAATATAAAATGTCTGTTAATAAAAGAGTATTATTTTAAATATTCGGTAGTTTATTCTTTTGCATATTTAAACTGTAATCAATAAAAAAAATTCTGAACTGTTCTAATTCTTTTATGTGTGTAGAAAATATAATAAATGGTAATTATATGGTTTTCAGGGGTCTGTCCACGCCGAATTTACTACCGTTTAGCGGTACGTTCACAAATTCAATTTTAGGAAAAACGGTAGTTTCACATTTTCAACTTCAGGAAAAACAGTAGTTTCACAATACTTTTTCTTAAATTTTTTTTTTATCCCTTAAGAAACGATAAATCCATATTTTTGTGTTGATTTTTTTAATATAAATTTTAATTTTTCACAAATTATGTCTAAATTTTCACAAAATAGGTACCTCTCAGAAAAACCTAGACAGAACCCTGGTTTTAAAAGGTGTCAATGTACCATCATTTACAATTGAAAGGTTATTAACTGTAAATGATGGTGTTTTGACATTATAATTACTTTTCTTTAAGATTATTTAACCGTATGTAGATTCTTAAATTATGATACTTATAAAGATGAATTTATTGAAATTTTTAGATGTGTTTATAATCCCTATTGTATTTCTATGATAAAAAAAATTTGACTACTATGATTGAGCTTACGTAGTAATGTGGTAACTGTAGACTTGTATATCACTTTGAAGTAAATTTAACTAAGTTAATATTAAAGAGCACCATAATAAATCTATCAAATGTTATCTGAGTCTTTCATTGTTTTATTATTGGGGTAGTTTTTACTAAATGATGTATTTAGCGACATATTTTCTACTGAATCTACTTGTGCAAAATTCCAGTAAAGTTAAGATTATTTTATAATTATATATATTTCCAATCAATAATTGATGAAATACCAGAATGTA